CTCCCTCCTTCCCTCCCGCCTTTGCCCGCTCTCTCTTCCTCTCGAAATGATTTGGTTGCCACGCGTGCCCCGATTTTTCCGGATAAATTATTTCACCGTCACGGGCGTGTATTAGACTTTTTCTTTACGAGCGATCAGTGATTTTGTAATATTTCATATTTCTTTTCATACGCGTTTCATTGAAACTTCGGACAAGAAATGGTGATGTTTCGAAATTAAATTATTTATCTTGAAGTTTTAATACACTCCAGGATGACCTCGTGTCCCGTACAATCACTTAACTCTGTACACTCGTTCCTGCTTTCATATCGTTTACATCTATTTAATAAAAATTTACTCTATTGTTTAGTACAATGCGCGTCCCGGCTCTTGAAAGCCAGTCGAAGCCGGGAGACGGGCTTTAGTGACGCATTTATTATGAATAATTTATGATTCAGCACGGCATTTATTTTCCGTGTGATATTATTTCCTAGTATGCGAGCCTTCTCCCGCGCCCGGCAGCTGCGGGCTTACAATTCAGGCTTACGAGCGCAACAGCTTCCGATGCATACAACGCGGCCAAGTTTTCCTTATTCATTGCACGGTTGATCAAATGCAAAGCCGATACCTCGAGTTTTATTCCGCGCGCATTACATCTCGCGACGAAGAAAAAAAACTTTCGACAATTTATTGCCTCTCGTTCTTCACCCGTCCCTTGTGAATAACGGTGAAAATCGTACCTGTACTTTATACTTTGGCGTCGGCTCGTCGATAACGTTTCTCACATTCATACAAATATCTCGAGCGGTGGGAAGAGAAAACGTAGGTCGCTAGGATGACCAATATTCGCGGGACATGCCGGTTTTCGGCTCTTATTAGAAGCATCTCGAAAATAAATACACAAAATATAATAATAAACTGTACTAAAATTCATTCAACCCTCTTAAACTGCGAGCGCTGTCAATAGGCGTCACATGAAAGGTCATTGATTAAAGAAATGTTTATTTCAGTTTCTATTTAATTAAAAGAATCTTAATATATTTTATTGAAATTATTTAATTTTTTTAACGCACAACTACATATTTTTTGTTCCATTGGATGTTTTTTAATTATTTTATTTCAAAAATATCAGTCTAATTTTAAACATAATGATTATTTATATTAAAACATAATAGGAAATCAAGCTCAGTTGATTGTTCGATCTTGACATTATCTATCTTTTATTTATATTTTATCTATAAACTTATTTATCTTTCATCAAAAGTTCCGATTTTTTTTTATTGTGTCCCGATTTTTCAAAGTCAATATCCCGTAAGTGGCGTTGATCACAAGTTACTAATCCTAGAGGTCGCCCACGTCGAAGGGTGAGCGAATCCGACGCGCTAGATTCGCGCGAGGACGCGGACCCGAGGATATATATATATATTATGTTTTAATGATTGGGGGGATCGTGATTTGCGCGATAACATCGATAACATCGTGAAAATATCGAGCTTCCGAAAAAATAAATAACCCCCGACGCAATAACCGGCGCGTTAGTCACACTAGGCGCGTTATTGCTTATTCCCCTTTTGGCTTCGTTTTTCTCCCAGTGCGAAATACCACCCGCCTACATGTCTGCGTGTCGCGAGCAACAGTTTCTGGCCGGCGGGCAGGCGAGAAAGCTCATAAGCTTTCTGGTTCGCGCGAGTCGCGCAACAAACTATCGCGCCCGGCTGCCGCGGCGGTCGACTGCCATTAATCGCGTTATTTTCCCGCTAATTAAGCGCGCGCAATAAATTTGGCAGCCGGCGGCTCGTTTATTCGTTCCTTCGCCACGTCGACACGTCGATACGCTTTTTGTCCTCGACTCATGATTTTCTTTTCTCTCTTTCCCCCTCCCCCTTTTGTCGCCCCCCAGAAAGCGACAACAAACGGCCAGCTGAGCGCGTTTGTACCGCCTCTCAATTTTTTTATCTCTCTACCCTTTACACCCTTTCTCTCTCTCTGCTTCTTCCGGCGAGAAACAGCACTATTACGGGGTCGAGAGTTGGCGAAATAAATTTCTGGTTAAGCGAACTTACGCGCGTTGCGATTTATGAGAGCCTCCGGGACGCGCCGTTCGCGTTCGTTTAGGCTGCGCAGTAAAACGTTCAATTTTGGGAAATTTCTTGCGGTGCCGTTAACAGCAGGTGCATCCGTTGCGAATTAATTCAGGCCGCCGTTTTGTTCGGTTTCACAAACGATTCGTTTGGGTAGGAATTATTTATTCGCTTGTGTACGCGAGAGAGCACGTGTTCGAGAGGACCGAGAGACTCTGCAGCGTTAGATTCTGCATCGTAATTCGAGCCGTCGTTCTTTCATAACGAGAGACCATTAATCCTATTAATTTATCCAGCATACGTCGTCTCGAGTGCTCCGTATCATCGCTTAAATTCGTGGCTTCGGTATTGTTCTCAGTACACTGACATTGGCGATATTCAATAAAGTGAATGAAATTATAAACTAAATTATTCCGCATAGCATATTCATTTATTCGATAGTCACGATCATTTAGAAATTAATGCGCCGAGTGATAAAAATGTTCACGATATGAACATACGATGTGCAATAAAGCCGGCGGTGCCCGAGTTGTCGTTAATTGCTTGCATTTAATTTCGATTGTCCGTTTATTCATGAAAATCGATCGCGCACCTCGCACTTTTAATTAGCACCGTACAATCGGTGACTACAGGAGGAAATAACGGCGATATGAAATTTAAAAACAACAGGTACGGGCAATTATCACGCGCTCAATTATTACACCACAATTAGCCCACCCTTTCCGATCTTGTTTTGCGTCCGGATTAAACGCAAACAGCTTTGAAACTTTCAGGAACGCAGGGCCGACGGTGCGTTGTTGTTCCCGTCAGACAGGACAAATTGTTTCGTTGAAAATAATCCACGATTTTCTCACGCCGCTTCGAGGCGCGATCTTCGTGCCGCGCCTCGTTCATTGGGACGATGTCGCGCGGCGTTGCACGCGAGGAAAAGGAAACCGGTTCGAATTTCTTCCAAAGCAACGGGAGGATACAGCAGAGCGTGCGTGTATGAAGACTAACAGCTTCGCAGGCCCGCTTGCGCGAGGACATTAAAACAAATCGTTCTCGCCCCACATTTGACGCCTCGGCGTGGGTAGACCTTGCCGAGGAGCGTTCGCGAGCTCGGGGAGGAGGGAAATGAAGGATTGGTTAACAAGAATTACTCGAAAATTCGAGAGGGCTTGTGGGAAGGACGGTGGTGCCGTCTTTTATTACGAGATGTGGGCGGGTCGGAAGTCAAGTGGTCAGCCGCCGAGTTCTTCTTCCCTCGGCGGGGAGGCGGACACCCGTCGCTTCTTCAACTCGCGCTCAAACAACGTACTCACGCACACATGTACGCGCCTCCTTCCGTGTGTGCGGGCCCTTTTTAAGCTCTCCCACGCAACGTCGTGTGCAACGATCAGTTGCTCTCGAGCGCGCGCCCGCTCGCGTTTATCGCCGCTTATCGCGCATGCATATTCAGTCCGCGCGAAAATCGCTCGTGCCCCAACCGACGCACCTGCGTGCGAGCCGGGCATCTACGCGGAGTAATAAGAACACAAAACGCCGTATATTAAAACGATATATTATCATCGCCGGCTGTTATCACACATTACGATGCGGTATGCGTGCGCGGTATTCCATTCCGGCCGGTGATGCTTTTTGCTCGCTTCTCGCGGAAATTTGAATATCAGATTCATATACTTGGCCGAAAGAGGGACGGACTCGCGTTACGTCGAGCCACCGAGAGAGCCGCTCGAATACACTTCCTCGTCGAGGAGGAGGTGCATTCCGCACGTCGATATTCTCCGTCGGCAGCTGATCGCGAAGAACGCGGACGCTATTGTCCTCCCAATTGGCCGTTTCAATTGGTATTATTGTTTATTGCGGATCCCCCGGTGGTCGTGCGGCTAGCGCGCAATAGTGCACCTAATCTCCCCCCGACTCGGGGACTCGCCTTATAATAATTATCGCGAGTACACGCGCGTACACGTGCGCACACATGCACGTATAATTTAGCCGTCGCGATAGCCGAGCGCACGCACACGCATTCCGCTTCGGATCGCGCGTTGCGCACGTATGAATCGCACACCAGCGGACGCGCGCGGGTCATTGCAGCCGCAATTGGCTGGAATTAGTGACGACATTGTTCAGTTTACCCTCCGTCAGCAATTACCGCTTTAATCGCCGCGGAGGATTTTTTTTTCTTTACCGCGCACTCGACGACGTCGTCCGTTGACGGCTCGGCGATGGAGTGTCTTATTGACGTTCATCAAAGCGCTGCGATTCGTGCGACGCTCGGGATTATTGTTCCGCCTTTCCCTTTGCGAGCCGCGTCTCGCGGCCTTCGAGTGCGCACGAGCGCGCTCTCCCGAGAGTACAAAAGTCCAAGGCCCGTTTTATTGTTATATCGGACGAAACTTTCTCTCTTTCTCTCTTTCTCTCTCTCTTGCATGACAGCCGATATATATTCGC